GTGCCAATTTGAAATTGTGTTGGAAATCTGGGTTTACAAGTGGAGGCTTTCTCATTTCATAGCATCTTTCTTGAGGCAACTTGATAATCACACGTGGCAGACTTGTTGCTGCAGAGGGCAAGGCTTAGAACTAGTGGGTAAAAATTTCAGGGAAGGTTGTTTATATTTTTAGGATGGCCTTTAAGTTGCATAAAATCCAGAACAACAGTAAAACAATATGAAAGAGGAACAACAGATAGACAGTATCCTTAAAACAATTCAGTACAAGTTAAAATTCATTGGGGGAAAATAATTATATTTAAAATTCACCTGGTGAAAAAGGCAACAAGATTAGACACAAGGTAAGCCTTCCTGGGGAATGCATTCCACAGACAGGTTGCCACCACTGAGAAGGCCCTCTCCCAACTCACCATTCATCATGCTTTAAATGACAGGGTCATCTAGATATGACCTCGTTGTACAGGTAGGTTCATGTTGCTGTAGACCTGTGTGGGGAACCTGTAGATGCTCCAAGGGCTGGTAGACAGTATCACCTCCAGGTAGTGTGGCCAATGCTCCATGACATCTGGAGGGACACAGGTTTCCTAACCCAGGACTATATTATCCTCCAGGTATTCGGGTCCCAACTAGTGAATGGCTTTAAAAGTAAGTACCAGCATTTTGAATTGTGCTTGGAAGTGGGCTGGAAGCCAGGACATCAGCAAGAGATTTTCTTCATTGCTGAGTCCCAGGTGACAGCCTAGTACAGGCTTCCTCAAATTTGGCCCTCCAGATGTTTTGAGACTACAACTCCCATCATCCCTGACCACTGGGATCATGGGAGTTGTAGGGATCATGGGAGTTGTAGGCCAAAAACATATGGAGGGCCGAGTTCGAGGAAGCCTGGCCTAGTAGCTGTAGTTTGATTCCATTTCCTGATTAGTCTTCAAAAGCAGGCCAGTGTGGAGCACCTGGGTCTAATGTACTCAGGCATCAATAACTATAGCCAGGTTGTTCCAATCTAGGAGAGATTGCTTTTGGTTAGCTGGGGGGGAAAAACTGTCAGTGCTACAGAAGCTACTTTGGTCTCCAGAACAAAAACATTGGACTTGTGAGTATTCCCTGACTGCTAATCTGATCCGTTAGGGGAGTGCATATATTCATAGCAAGTCAAACAACATGTACAGAAGTCATTCTTTGAGACATGATCTCTCTAGGTTTGAAGGGAGGGCAGGGGGACTGGAGAATTAAATGTGGGTGAGAAAATATATCTTTATTTATTTGTATTTATTAAATTTGTATGCCACCCTTCATCTGAAGATCACAGGGCAATTCACAACATAAAAAATATGAGAACACAAAATACATAATAGAACAAAAAACAACCAATTGCCTCTGCCCCCACAAACACATGGTTTAAGTAGTTTGTGAACCTTGCTAATTGGCAAGTATGTAGTAAAATTAACACAATCTAAATTTTAAAAGAGGACATGGTTTCCCCTGTGCCTCTATCACTGATTTATCTATGTGGGATAGCCTGTCCTTTCAGCTGTGGAATATTTTAGGTGCAACAGGCATACATTGGAAATAGGATTTTGCTTTTAATCTTCAGTTTATAAGCTTTCTGGTGACATAGAGACAGGATATATTAAAAGGCTGCTCTTATCTTCAGGGCTCTTGCTTAATTGCCACTTCATATATTTTCCTAAACTCCCTCACAGTGTTTGTTTCATGCTTCTAACAGGAAATCAAATATTGATTTTCTGCATACTTATACAGAGTGAATTTATGCAGCAGATTTGCTTTGAGAGTAATATTTCATTAGCCAGAAACACTCATGATTTAGCAGTATTTAAAACACTCCCTTTAGATTTTTGTTGACTTTATATCTGAAAGTAAAGGAAGAACAACAATCAAAATCACTTTGGGTTGGCTTTTGTTTGTTTTTCTGCAGCAGTGTATGAAAGAACAATTTAAAAGAGCCATTTCAGCCACGTTTTAAAGAAGAGACCAGAGGACAGCACAACGGGACTTAAGTCTCTCTCACACCATGCCCATCCCAAATCTGCTCAGGTTTTGGTCTTGCGTTTAAATTACTGACATGAGTGCAGTTGTAAACTTTTCTTTATTGACAGTGGATGTGCTTGGACTGTACTTATTGATCTCTACCAAGCTCTTTCTCTTGAAAACCGCAGCAAATCAAGTTCTCATATTGGGAACAAAGCCACAGTAGAGCTCAGCACAAGGAATTATTGCTTTTTGAGGTGTTTCTTGAAGTGGGATCCAAGATGTCAATTGTTTATTGAAAGAGCAAGCTATTCTCATGGCTGTATCTTGGTATTCACAGAAAAAAGATAATTGGCTATATCATTCTGTTATGAGAAGTTGAATAAAATCACTTTTTAATTGTAGGAGCACCTGGGTTTTGTATAAGGAAAAAATTGCTCACGAAAGCTGTCCATTGAAAGCTCAGATTGGCTTTCTTTTGGGGGGGGGGATGTTGTTGGACAGGATTTAAAGAAAACTTTGAACAGTTATAGCAGACCTAAGTTATAAGCATGTTTATTCAGACTCGCTGAGCTCAATCGGCTTTACTCCCTGGTGCGTTCAGGAGCGTACTGTTGAAAGTGTTTTCACAGCGATTCCCTCTCTACAGGTAACCAAGGGAACTGTTACTCTGGGAAGTGTATGGAATGGGTCTGGTGAGATGTTTAAAAGAATTTTCAGCACCCTCACTAAATTACAATGCGCAGATTTGTTTGGGGGAGACCATACCAGTTAAAATGGGTTCTGTAGTGTAGTGTTTGGTAGTGCAGATAGGCCCTTTGTTTTGGCATAGTGAATCTTGCTTTCTGAAGCCCAGGTGATCCTTTAGGCTTCCTTTTGTACCCAAACCCTGTGCTTACACTGAACTGGATGCTTTATAAATGTTGCTTTCTTCTGAACTATTCTGCCACATCGGCAGGAATACTTGGGCTGAAGTCATTGAGATTAGAATCTCCTAAATCCTGGTTAATCTATTTCAACTGGCTCATGGATTGGACTGCTAGTATATTTACCCCAGAGCATTGTGCATATCAGAGGCAGCTTTAACCTGGTGCCTCTTCATTATATAGTGTTTCAAGGGTCCGAACATAGCTAAAACCTGGTTGCTTTGCATTACTGCTTTTCACAACTTGGGGTGGAACAGCTAACATTCTGCTCTAATTGGAAACCTGGCCATAAGAAAGCCAGTATTAAGACTAATCTGTCACCTCCTGGCAGCTGTTCATTAATTTATATTTGTGTAGCTTTGGCCGGGTCAGTCTGCTTTGTGTACAGAAGCTAAGCTTTCTTATCTTTTTGTTATGGAATTCCTTTCAAACAGGCAGAGCTGTGTTTACCCAGCACTTCGCATCTTTTCCCACCTACTTCTTCCAGTTGTCCCACCCCCACCACACTTAGTTCTTGTCGTGTACCTTAAAGCTTATTTTGTAAATCCTATGAAATGAAAGATTCTGGTGCGCGAGAGCTCATGTATATATCCACACACATGTGCGTATGCACATGCACACACACACACTCTTTGTCAAATTAATATGAAATGCTCAGTTCTTAAACAAAAAGCAAGCTATCTACCGTTAGTTTTGGATGGGCTTCCCCCAATTTTGCGGTAACACAAAGGCTTGCTCCCTATGAATTATTAGGAAGAGATGCACCCTGGTGGTCTTTGTGTATGGAAAAATTAGTGAGCAGTCATGATAGAATCATTTTAAGCTGCTGCTCAAGCATGGAAATTTGATTTGCGTACTTAACAAACTACATTCCCCACTATACATGTAAGTGTTGTGACCAGACAGTTGATTGAACTTTCTTCAGTTTATATTATTCTCCAGCAACCAAACACTCGTGTTGCATGGCAGTTCCAATATTATGCAGTTAAAAGACTCTTCATACTATGACATTTGACTGTCCACAGTGCATTTCAGGCATGCCACAGCTTGTGACCAGCCAAGCATTGGTCCTGCCAGAAGGTTGTCAACCTTCATGAGTTAGCTGGAACTGCAGATAAACAGCAAAATATGAGAGGGTTTTTGCACCCCAGGCCAAGTGATGATCTATGGCTGGCATGCTGTGCTTCACTTCATGGGTTACAAGTTGAGCAAGTTTTGATATGTACACAGTTACATTAACTTCAGTTAATATGAGTGAACAAGACTTTGATCATTAGAACCAAAGCTCGGAATACGTAAGTCACTTCTCCTAATGTTAATTTTGTATTCAGATAGCATCTCCGAAGTCTGTAAGCAGAAGGGCGCAGCAAGTGTGAAATGTCAGTAACAGTGCAATTAGCTCAAGATCTCTTTTGTTTACTTTGGATACATAATTAGTGGGAAAGACAAGACTAGCTTGGGGGGCCCTACTGGCCACCTAGATAAGCAAATAGATGGAACTGTACGTGTATATGCTGCCTTGGCAGTCCAATCTGATAACATTAGAAAAGCCATCACAGCTGTCGGAATGAAAATGTCTAAACAAAACTGCTGCACTCACTTAAAGGGTGTTGTAGTTTTTAACTATGTATGGGACTTGATATGTCTTTAGGATGCATGGTTAACTGCTCCTTGTATCTGTAAAGTTGATGGATGGAGTAGATTGCAGCGTAAACTCTGTTAGTAGTAGCATTTCCTATGTTGAGAGTCATGGTATATTGATACCATGTGCATAAAATCATAGAATTGTAGAGTTCAAAGGGATAACGAACCACTGCATTAGTAGCACCAAGGTGACTTCCCTGGGATGCAAGCCCGAGTAGTGTGTATGGAGGTCCTGGGCTGCCCAGATGACAAGTTTCCCCCTCTCGGCCTCAATGATGTTGTCCAAAGGAAAGCGCAACAATACATTTGGCACCAGCTTGGTTAATGCTGAAGGTTAATGCTGCAGGGCCGCCTTCTCTCTTCAGAGAATGTCTGAAATTATTTAACTGTTTTAATGTTCTGTTAGCTCTACTTCCTAAAGGTAATGTCTGTTTGTACTTTCAGATTATAGGTTGCCAAATTGAGAGAGAGCCAGCAGAGGCAACTGAGCGATACACTCGATGGATCAATAATCTAACCTGTGAGCAGCTTCTTACTCAGGTATTTTGCATTTATCTTTTTCACCTTAAGATGCCAGAAGGCTGATTGCCATCTATTTCTTCTGTTTTATGTTGTTTACTCACTTAGCTTGAGTACCCAGGAAGTGGAAGTGTACTTACATAAATCTACCAGGTAGCAAGAGCTAGACAGTATAAGTGTATTTCTATGTTCTTAAAATGATTATAACAGGGAGGAGAGAAAGTTATAGAAAGCGGCTGTACTCCTCATATTTCTTGTTCCAAGCTGTAGATGGACAGAATCTATACCATGATCACTGCAGTTGGGCTGCACTTCATTACTTACAAGTATCATCACTTTAGCTTTCACAAAATGATATTTTTGATTCAGGCTTCTATGCCTAATTATGCAGAGCAGTTAATTTATTGACATAGAAACTAGGGTAGACATTATTATACACTTTGTTAGATTTAGTTTCTTTGGGAGAGCCAATGTGGTGTAGTGTTTGGCGTACTGGACTCTGACCTAAAGTGATCTGATGTTCAAGTCCCTGGCCCGCCATAAAGCTCAGTTGGTGACTCTGGGCCAGTCGTTCCTTTTTATGCTTGGCCTAGTCTACCTCGCAGGGTTGTGGTGAGGATATCCTTCATCTGTGCATGTTACACTGAGTTCGTTGGAGGAAGGATGGAATACAAACGCGATTAAGAAGAATAATTCATTGTTGTCCTGCTATCTTATTTGCCTAAAAAATAGGTTATGAATGCAGTAGAGAGTTGTGATGGGCCATGTTAATTACAAATGTGAAAGGAACAGGAAACACAGAGAAATACAGCAAAGATAACATGAATTTTAAATCTTCATCATGTTGACGCTGCTGCCGATAACCAAATACCAGCACAACTGTTCTCTTTCTAAGTTACATTGTTGTATTTGAAAAGTACCCATACACATATCTATATATGCTCATTCCAATGACATGATTAGAACAGCATTGTTAATAACAAGTGGGGACCTCTAATTATTTTATGATTCTTGTGGAGGGCAGTGGGCAGCCTTCCAAAGCACTGAAAAACCGAGGAAATGTGTTTGTGATCTGCCACTGCAGTATCTTCAGTGTGGTAGCACCAGGGTCATGGAACTCTCTACCTAATGAAAATAAGCTGTGAGTTTTAGGCACCAATTTAAGATTTTGTTGTTTGAGCAGGACTTATTTTGAAAACAACCTACTATTTTTATAACTTTCCCCCACATAACCCATTCTGTACCCCTCCCTGCAAAAAAATAATAATTGAAATATAGTTTGCTTTGGTTTTATTGTTATGTTCTTTGGGCCTTAACTGGGATCTTGTACACCAAATGGATACAAATATTTAAAATGAATGAAGATTCTTCCCCCTCTCTGCCTTCAGCTCTGAATTCCTTGAGTCTCAGGAACTAGTTTAGGAACTTGAAGTGGGGGGGGGGGGAGAGAGTTGTTGGGTGTGGTTGCCATACTGAGCTCTTTCCTACACACCCCCTTATTTTTTTCTACAAGTCTGTGGATCCAACCTTCCAAGTGTCTTAACATAGCATCTCTGTGTGTATATATTTAAGTATGTGGGGAGACTTGTCACTGTGCTACAAATTTTTACCATGACTTGTATTATGGCTTCCATATATAATAGCAGCATTCAGAGACATTGGATTATATCCATATTTATGCAAGGTCGGGTATTTGATGGGAAGCTACCATATTTTAGTGCATTTGAGGGTTGAATAATTCTGGCCTTTCCTGAGGTGGCTGAAATAATTTTTACTATTGGTTTCCCACTAATACCCTGCTAGGTACAAAAGCGTTCTTTGTTTTTTGTTAGGTTTGATTTTTGCTGCTATTAATAGCCCATGTCATCCAATCAATGGTGTGCTCTGTATTTGTGCATGCTCAAGTTTATGGAGTAAGAAAAAGAGGGTGGGGAGAAGAAAAATATATATTTTGCCCGTCAAGAAATTCAGTAGTATCTCGAGAGTGGATTTATATAACTGACCCTTTTACTGGGCAGCAAATACTTATTTGGAATTCTTGAAATGCAGAAACCCAGGAAAGATTATCTCTAAGTGAGATGCATCTTGTGTGATTTGAAACCAACATAATTACCTTAGCAACAGATTGTTTCCTACCTAATGCAACAATCACTGAATGAAAAAAAGTTTGGCAAACACAAGTACATTTATGGAAGAAACCTGTTCCATTTTCAGGGAAATATGTGTATTAGCAGAGTATGATGAGGGATCTAATGTCTGGGTCATGGCAGACCATCACAGTGTGTCTTAAGAAGCACATATTTGGGGCTTAGATTTTGTGGTATTCTGGCAGGAAGACAGGTATTTTTAATTTTTTTAGGCTTAAGTTTCTCAGAAGAGGAATAAATCTATGCTAGGTTTCATATTGTAGGAACTCTTGTTTCATTTCCTCACTGCTCTAATGTTAGCGGCAATCATGCAAGTTTCAGGGTGATAAATATAATGCAGGGAAATGTTTATGTTGCACCTTCAAACTATTTGGTGACATCTCTGAAGTATGAAGCAAAATATATTGTACATGTATAAATTATACATGATTATACTGTATAATCAATAGTACATGCTATAGAACGAGGCACTGATATTTAACATCAACTTCAGTTGGTATGCCCCAAGGTCCATAAATAGCAACACCCTAGTGGTCCCGGGCCCTAAGGAAGTTAGATTAGCTTCAACCAGAGCCAGGGCCTTTCCAACACTGGCTCCGGCCTGGTGGAACGCTCTGCCTCATGAGACCAGGGCCCTGCAGGATCTGATTTCTTTCCGCAGGGCCTGTAAGACAGAGTTGTTCCCTAGCCTTTGGCTTGGAGCCAATTTGATTCCCTCCCCCTCTTTCTTTTTCCTTTTTCCTTTCTCCTCCTGTGATGAGGCTGCATTTTAATATTTTAATGTTTCAATATTTTAATGTTGTATTTTAATGTTGTATTTAAGTTGTATTCATTCAGCTTGTTTTTATTATTGCTTGTTAGCCGCCCTGAGCCCGGCCTTGGCTGGGGCGGGCGGGGTATAATAATAATAATAATAATAATTAATAATTAATAATAATTATTATTGAACAAGAGTGTTCTTTTCTAAAAGATATATTCTACTTTAAGAGTGTTTAACAACTGAGCCCAGTCCTATATGCAGTACAGTATAGTACAGCCCATGCCTATATGCAGCACAGTTTGAGAAGTAGCATGATCACAAGTGAAGTGGAGGTAGGGCAAGAATGGGTTTTGCGGTTAGCAAAATGTTAGCCAGGCTCTCGCCCAAGAGGAAATGTGAGTGGTTGTAAGCCATCCGGTACATGAAGAAGGAGGAAGTGGTCTGCAGCGGGCTGCTGAGTAGCTGTTGGGTTTCTGCCCTTTCAATGGATGAGCTGGCTTCTCTGATGTGGGTGAATTTAACCTTTTGCATCAGATCTTGCAGAGAATCACTCAGTATGCACATTTTAAAATATCTTATTGTGAACTGGTTAAGTCCTCAGTGTGATATGAAATGCCACGTATGAGTTGTTGCTGCTAATTATTGAAACAGAAACTCTCAAAAACAGTGTAGGGTTTTGTTCTTCAAGGGGAATTTTCTTCTGTTTTCCATGATAAGCCCACATTTAAATTTATTCATTTATAATGTGCACTTATAATCAGATGGAAAGTATGCTGGTAAAAACACTTCTGGGATCTCAAAAACACTTAAGTAGAAAATATTTTTTACTGCCAGTGGTAGCTCAGTGCACTTATAGAAATTTAATACGTTATTGGGAATAATTAAATTCCTACACGTTCTTAAATGTTCCAGTGCTGCATTAGGAAAAGATCTCTTAAAGAGCACTCTCAGTGAGGAGGGCTTCTTTGGTCCTCTGTTTCCTTGGAGGCAAAGATCTATTGAACCGCTGTCTGGTGGGCCCAGGGAAGCAGAAAACCAAACCACATTGCACCATTCCCTTCATACTGGCTTTTGCTATCTCCACACTGCATCTTATCTCAGCACCTAGTGACCATATGCATTTGTCTTCTCCTGCTTTGCTGTTCAACCATAGGAGTGTGTGTGTGTGTGTGTGTGTGTGTGTGTGTGTGTGTTACCCCCCAACCTGGTAAACTAAATATTTGTGTTTTTTCCTGTTATGTTCGTATTTCACAAAACTCTCATTTTGGCCAAATGATAGGCAGAAGTAAGCTGTCATTGGCTGATATCTGTTGTAGTAGTTAATTTGTAATTATTTTTGGTAGAGAGAAGTAATGGAGCAATCCAATCCTGAAATGATTAAACACAGTGGCTCATATTCTTGAAAAACCCTGAATTGTACTGTAACATTTAGTTTTGTCACCTTTAAGCTAATGTTTAAAGCTTCCTCAGCATGGCCAGGAAGGCATGGAATATTTTATTCTACATATTAAAATTACAAGGCAGGTTTTGTGCTGTCAGATAAATTTTTTACTAGCATGTGGCCATAAAAAGACGACTTGCTTAAAGTGTTTTGCTCTTTGCTTTCATACTGTGCATGCTATCCTTTGTAGTGTTTAGTATTTGATGCTGAATTTTTCCAGATATTTCTTGTCTGGTGACATATTTTATTGAACACTATTTATTTACTGCTTAGTGGTTTAAAATAAAATATTAATATAAAATAAAACATAAATAAAACAAAACAAATTTTTCAATAAAAAAACAGCTAAAACATAGTATTTGTTCTGGCACAAATACAACAGAAGGTTGAGAGCTTTTTGTTACCCTCTGTTAAACAGAATTTACATTTGTTCTTTTGCAACACTGTGTGTCATTGTCTCACCACAGGACAGCCACAAAGTCACCACAAATGCAACTAACGGTACAGAAAGCAAAGGCTATGCTAAGATTATTAGAAGGAGCTGTGTGATCTTTCTTGTGATGGGGAGGGGGTGACACTAAAATTTAGTGTTCTTCTTTCAATCATTAGATTGTTATTCCAGCAACTTAAAGGGCTAATTTTGACATAATCTTTTTCACCCACAGGTGAAGTT